CAATTAATAAAATTGACAAGTAAAAAGTATAAGAGTAACTTTGTTTTCAAACCATTTAATGTTTTTAACTTTATAAAAGGATTCGTTTCATAGTTGTAATCGAATTTTTAAAGCGTAGGAGAACGGGAAGAAAAGACGGAATTTTGTACTTATGACAAGACCTCTTAATGAATCAGCAATTCAAATCTGCTAACTGCTGCTTTATTAAGGTTTAAGATATTATGAAAAACAGCGACAAAATGGAATGAGTCATTAGAAACACTCATCGTGCTTTGAATCCTTAAAATCGAAACATGAGAGTTGTTTATGTTATTTATTTCTGAACAACGAAAACAAATTTTCAATCAACGTTGAGTGATGATAAACATGCAGAAGTTTCATTTTACTCCACTTTCACCGTCTCATCCTCCGTTGCGCACCATGATTAAATTTAATTAAATAATAACTGAACCGTTGCTAATGTATGTGTAATAATTTAATGAAGATAAATTCTAGGTGAGTTTTCTCATACGTTATGATCAGGGCTTGAGTCTCCCTCCGACATTTCTGTACAGTTCACAGACATTTTTTCTCAGATCAAAGAAACGGAACATTCCACTCTCTTTTATAAGGAATCTTTAAATTAAAAAGATTTTTATGTTTTTCAGGAACAAGAACTTTGATCAAAATTAGCATCAGAAAGATTTTTGCAATTTTTCAAAAATTCATTAAGCTTGAAACATGCAATGAAGTGTGTACAATTTGTAAGTGCGAAAACATAATGCGAAAAATTCCTTTTGGGTATAAGATCGATACATTTCAATTAATAAACTCTAATGCGGATAATTTTAGGACTAGCGTTATTCAAAAAGTGGAATAAAAGGTAAGAAAATCCATGACGAGATACATGAATGAATAATATTAAAAAGCTTTCATTTTTATCAGACATGGAATGGTCAGTTGTTGTTAAAATCAATTTCTAGTCTTCTCTTTTTCATTGAATATTTTATAAAAATATATCTAATTAAAATCTCTTAAGTTTTCAATGCTTTTAT